GGACATGTGCTGGCAGGGAGCGGCAAGGATGGAGGGGCAGGCTGCTTTCCATCCCCAAATCCTCCGAGTGAATAGAGGTTATTGTGTGGCCAGGATTCCAGTGGCGAGCCCTGGCCCCAGGGGGTGGGCTTTGCTAACCTCGTGACCGAGGATGCTGGAAAGTGTTTGGCAGAAGGCATTTGACAATATTTGCCTGTTTTCAGCTGGGAGCTGCCTTCAATCACGTGGCCCCGATTATTTTGGGCTGCTTGGCTGCTGTATTATTTGTTCTTAGAGCAGGATGGTCTCTAGGGCGATGGGGAGGGGGCTCATGACAAGGAGGGGGAAGGTGGAGAAGCGAATACTCCTCACCCAATTCCAAAAGCCAGCCCGGACGGAGCCCCAGGGGTGCAGGGCAGTGCTCTGGGGCCAGCCACTGCTCCGGGATGGGAGGCCCCCACATCTTCTCCGGGGACTGCGGCCTCTGAGGCTGAGGACCCCCGGGCAGAAGGGACATCGTGAGGCATGTGAGTGCCTCATAGGGTGATGCGACGAGGCTCTTGGTTTTTTCAAAAAAGCAATTTGTACTGTGGGCAAAGATGTAGAATGGCTAAGCCCTTTGAGTGGGCAATTTTGCACTCCAGAAACTTTTTGTTGATACTCAAGAGAAACACAGCTGTGCTGGTGGGTGCAGGGGAAGATGGCCTTCGGGGCCCTATTTGCAATGGCGCAGGTGAATGCTGGACACAACCAAAATGTGCAGAATCCTGCTGCTGTTGCTGCTGCTAGCATGGAATCCTGAGTAGCAATTCAAAAATGAGGTTGTTCTTGGGCCTCCCTGGTGGCACAGGGGTTAAAGACAGTGTTGTCAGGCTTTAGGCAGCCACTGCAGCATGAGTTTGATCCCCCACCAGGGAGCTGGCCCACATGGCACAGCAGACCTCTCCTGACTTGCCCGCTGCTCCCCTTAGCAGTATATTTCAGTAGATCTGCCTGTTCTGCTTCCCACACTGTCTCTGGTGAATCCTCTCACCCCCTCATACCTGGCCTACACCTCAGTTCATGAATGCATAAATAAATAAATCTTTTTTTAAAAAAAGAGGTTGTCCTCTCTGGAGTAATCTGGGCATAGTGTCAGGACATTCTACTGGGGAAAAAAAGCAAGGTTAGATCAATATAGTGTGACATGAAATATTTTTCGTGTGATATGTCTGCATTCTTCTAAAAAGGAGACAATCCTAAATAAAAAAATCACAGTCCAGAAGTTCCTATCAGTGCATATGCATGTAAATGCACAGGCAAGGGGCAGTAAATCACACACACACACACACACACACACACACACACACACACACACACTTCTCACTGGCAACAGGGTTGCGCTGGAGGGGAGGCATCAAGGAATTTGAATGAAAGCGTTACTTCTTATTCATGTTTTCATTTCTAAGCAAGGAAATGTATTTTTTTTTGTGTCAATAAAATAAAAACTGGGGCCTCCCCAGTGGTGCAGTGGTTGACTGCTGGGTTGCGAAGCTGCCCGTAGCCTCTGCAGCACCGGTTCGATCCCCGGCCACTGGGCGAGAGTCCCAGATGGTGTGCAGACCTCTCCTGCCGCCCGCTGCTCCCCTCAGCAGTGTATTTCGTCAGTCTGCCTGCTCTACTCTCCCCTCTGGTTCTGGTGAATTCTCTCACCCTCCCGTACTTCTGACTGTACCCAGTGCTTGTATAAATAAATAAATAAAATCTTTAAAAAAAAATAAAAACTTATTAGATTTATTCATAACTTGCCTTTTCCTGAAAAACTAGCAAAAGAAAAAGAAGAAAGTGAATTGAAGGAAGGTGTTACAAAGCACATAGGCATCAGATTTAGCTCTGAACTCCCTGGTGGCCAGAGCAAAAAGAGACACAGGATAAATCATGTTACCTTTCCTTGTAAAATGAAAGGTGCATCCAGTTTGAGAGCCAACATTTTTTATACTGAAACTATAGTCTAAAATTTTTTTCATGTAGAATTTATACAGGGCGTCACATCTCCTCCACTATAGGTTTAAGCAGGACTGTTCCAATGGAAGTCAAGAAAAATGTCCTCATTTTCTCCCCTCTATTTACAGGCCCCCTTCCTGACCTCCTCCACTCATCTGTGTGGTGGCCTCCTTGCTCACTGCCCTCCAGCCACTCGGGGACACTTTCTGTGGCTTGTGAGCAAGCTCGACTTGCTGTCCAGCTGCTCTTGTCCTGCAGACTGTGGTGGGTTAGTGTTAGGTCGCCCTTAGGGGCTAAGGCCTCCTTCCCCACTGCTGGGAGGTAGGTCCTGAGGCTGAGTGTTCAAGGGGCTTTGTCCTCAGCACAACATGAAGGGGCCTGCCTTACTTTAAGTTATCCCCCTCTGGGGGCAGCCTCCATAATGATGGGCAAAGTGGGGGAACTAAAGCCTGAATCCTGTGCATCTGTCACCCAGCCCCGGTTTCAGAATTCTCTGGGGCCACAGAGGCCAGGGCTGCAGGCTCCCAGTGGCCCTAGTCCAGCCACCTCAAGCGCAGCTCTGCCCAGTTCTCCTCTGTGAGAGCCTGACCTTCAAAAGCACAGCCTTGGACAAGCTGTTCCCCTGCCTGGGATGTCCCCCAGGCCCTGGTGGTCACATTGTCCTGGTGTCAGTGAGGACTTGTTGTCATACAAATATCCTCTTAAATGTCACCTTTTCTGGGATGCTTCCCCTCACCACTCAAATTGGCCTCTGAGGTGCCATCACATCCGCCAAGGGCAATTCCTAAGCACAGCCCTGGTGCTCTATAATAGAATCCTGTGCATTTGTCATTAGTATCATCATTTGAAAAAATGATTACCTGTCTTTTTCCACTCAGCCTCTACTCTTGATCTATCTTATCTACTACTGCATTTCCAGGACCTAAAACAAGGCCTGGCAAATAGTAGGTCCCAGTAAACGTTTCTTGAATTATTTGATGACCAAAATTCTACTTAAAAAGATAATAAAAAGGGCGTTGATGTTTGAACAACTTGATGCCTTTTGATAATCGTAATTTACAAATCATAACTGATTTAGCCATAAAAGCAGATATACCTGTATACAGATATATGTATTTTTTAAATCCCTCATCTGACTTTGTGAATTGGGAGAAGAAATTTTTTCTGGAATGATCCATGTGACCCTTTATGTTGAACAACAAATTTTTAATACAAAACTAGGTATAAATAGGAAGAGAACGGTGCATATGTCAGGAAGGACAGGGTGTCCTTATGAGACCCAGAAGGGAGATGTTTGCTGAGTGATGAATGGCTGCTAAGTTTGATTAAGCATCGGCTCCACACCAGACACTGCCCAAGCTCTTCATTCTAACTAATTCATTCCTTTTCATGGCTGCCATACGCTCTAGCCAAGGTGAGTAGCCCAAGCAACCTGGAGGCCAAGGACTTCGTCCAAGCTTCCACAGCGGTAGAGCTGGGAGGGAAGTGCTGGCAGTCTGACCAGAGACTGCACAGCCTAGAGCCTTGCTCTGCCAGGCAGACAGCAGACAGCACAGAAAAACAGATACAAGCAAGATGATTTTCAGTTTGTCCCCTTCAAAGTTTTTGTTCTGAAAGGTATAACAGTCTCAAGTCACTTAAGTAAGTGTGTCTGTGCATTCCTTGCATTTCTAGAAGCTCACACTCCCAAAGTCCTTTACACTGATGCCTCATTCTATGTCCCAGCACTATGGGAATGTGTGTGACCATGATACTGGGGGAGCTAATACTGGGGGAAGTGGCCAGAAGGATATTTGACCAGGGAAGCAGAGTAGAATTTTAAATAAAGCAAAAAATGGCAAAAGCAATGAGAAAAAGAATACAGGAACAAAATAATGGAAACAAGCCAAAAAGCTGGAAATGGAACTCTTGGGAACAACCTTTGCTATCCTTGTAGCAAAACGAGCTGACTGTTGAGTGAGGATTGAGTTACATCCCTGCAAGCTTCCCCAATGTTGTTTTCCTCTCACCTGTGCGTGGATTAGACAAGAGAATCTAATACTATTTGCTCTGTAGAGCCCATCTGCTTCCTTTCCTGATCTGTGCTTCACCTTTCTTCCTGATTTTTCTCTTCCTTTCTTCCAAAGCATGGCACAGTAGTTAAAAAGACCCAGCCACGTCCCTGCTTCATGGCTGGGTGTATGTTCAGGCAAATGATTTACTGCCTAAGCTTGGTTTTCCCCGTCTGTAGACTGGGCACGATACTGCCAGCTTTGCAGAACTCAGAACCAACTGAAACACTTATCAAGGTGCCCAGCATGGAGGCTGGTACTTGCTTCTCTTCTTCCTCTTTGTTTCTTCATTTCTTCAGTTTTGCTGGGCTGCAACACTAGGGGAATAATAGCCCCTGGTTCACAAGATCTTCTGAGGGGTGAGTCTCTGTCAGGCATAGACAGTCTGGTGTTCAAAACCACAACACAATTTCTAAGTAAAACTCTTAGAGGAGAATTTACCTGTAAACCTGAGTGCAATGACTTAACCATCATCAAATAACATGTGACCTCCAGGAATTCCAAATATTAGCGAGAAAGTCGTTCTGGTAGATACTTCCTGTTAATGTTACTAAAGTTAAAATAATCGCAGAATAGTTGCAATTGATTTATTAAATCTTTAAGGGCTCCCTGATGGGGTGAACAGGAATAGTCTATAATTTGTGTAATACTATTAATTATTGTAATGGATTCTATTAAAATGAATTAAAATCGTCCATGTGGAATCTGTTCTTGCCCACATTTTGATGAATGGAGGGGGGGTGGTGGTGGAATCTATCCCCAAATAAAGTAGACACGAATATTGAAATCTTCAGGTTAGACCTAAGCTGAGCATTTCAGGTGTGTACAGTTTTTGCAATACAGGTGTATCCATTAGAGATAGTTGCAAATTCAATTAATTGCATGTGGGTTCTTAGTTACCCAGACAATATCCAAACAGTCGAGCGACAGCCTAGCCCATAAGCAGGAAGACACAGTCAAATGGGCACCCATCGAGACAGAACTCACCATTGCAGAGTAGCAGGGGTGGAGTGAGGCTTGGAGGCTCTGTTATTTTCTTTTTCCTCATCTGGTAAAGGAAAGAAAAGGGAACTAACTTCAGTAGGGAAAAGTCAAAGGTCAGCTCTCCCAAGTCCCAAAGGACCATGCTTCCTCCAGAACAGATGCTTGGAAAGCCAATGTGCTTGGCTTTTCCAGCAAGTCAGACTCACCAGGTTTCATGAGGAAAAATGGAGGAAGTGAATTTTAACAGAAAATGCATACATCCCTTTGCTTATTTATTAGACATAGTATGTTCAAGATTGAACATTATCTCTTCCTCATCACTGGATCATAGCCCATCTTCACCCACCTTGCTATTTTTTCCCAAACAAAACCAGACATTTGACTCAACCATTTGAACCTAAGGACATATAGACCTCACTTGTTCCTTGTAACCCCAACAGAAAAGACACCTAGTGCAGGGTGGTGAGAGGTAAGTGTGCAGAAGAGTCAGGTTAGCAGTACAACAGAGCAGGGGCTGGCACACTTGTTTCTACAAAGGGTCAGAGAGTAAATGTCTTGGGGATTTTGAGCCAAGAGGGAAAACCAAGTATATTATGTAACACTTATATAACAAGAGAAAATAAACTTCCATAGAACTTTTATTGAACAAAATTCAAAATATAATAATAGCAATTGTATACAATTTTTGAAATATAGGCCGATGAACTAGAAGAATGAAATTATTTGGGGGGAGTGGGGAACATTTCTCTTTTTAATACAATCTACTTTTTATAAAACTTTGCATATGACTTCATAAACTTTCAGGTGTCTGTGTTGAGAATCAACATGTAGACACATTAATATACCATATTAATATATACTACAATTAATATACTATATTAAAGTTGTTGCTAACAGTTCAGATCTATTCTATTCCTAATTGAGGTTCAAAGTTCACATTCCTTATCATCAAATAGATTACAAATATTCATCTATGATAAATGCTGTGATACAGGTAGGTAAAGAGGAGCCTGCTAACCCAGATGGTGTGAAAAAACAGAGAAGGCTTCCTGGAAGAAGCTGATCCCTGTAGCAGACTTGAGATGGGCACCAGAAGGCAAGGATGGTTAGATGAAGTCAGGGTAGGGTGGAGAAGGTGAGTGACAAAGACAAGGGGACCTGCAAGATCATATCACCCCTCCACCCGGCTGGCCCCTTGTTGCAGGGTGTGGTCACTGCTTGATCGGTGCAGCTACCTTGCTAGTTTGTAAGCTCCATAGGCATGGGCCACACTCATCACTGTGTCTCCTGCATCAACATGTGGTAGGGGTTCAAGAAGTATTTGTGGAATGAATGAATGGCTACAATAATCCCACAATTAAATGCTGAGCCTACTCACCTGGTTTCAGTAAGCATGGAAAATAGCACATTGCCAGGGAACATTTATTGAGCCTGTAATGTGCCAGACACTGTGCAAGGCTCTTCATTTCATTGCATTTAATTTTCACAGCTGCCTAAGCCAGTGAGTGATTTCATGCATCTGAAACATCAAATCTGGTGCCTAATGCATATTTGTGCTTGATCAATGGAAGGTTCTAATTATTAGTCACAACCCCTTTTACAGAAGAAGAAACCGTGACTTAGGGAAGTGAAGTCATTTGTTGGAGGTGACAAAGTGGTGAAGCCAGGAGAGGGGCTCAGTCTAATAGACTTCAAAACCTCCTTGAACCCAAACCTCACTTTCTCACGAACCTATAGCATTGGACTAAAGATTTTCAAGAACCTACTATCTGCCTCATCATTTCTGCCTCTATGTTGACTGAACTCACAACATTGGGGGACCTATTCTAGAATATTTCCTGCCTGGAGTCAATGTGGTAGAGCTTAACATTGAGGGAGAAAGTTTCTAAATTAATTACTTCTTTTCAAATCCCAGGAAAGGTTCAAGTTTATGTGACTCTCGAGTTTCACTCCTAAGTTCTAATTCTATTTCCGTTCATTACACAAGCCTGGCTGCACCTGGCCAGACCTCACCTGTTGGGAACATGGACTGCCAAGCATTTCATTTCCCCTTGTCCAGTGCTTGCCAGTCACTGCCAAGAGCACCAGCTGATGATCAGGGTGCCTGGACCCGGGCCTTTGGCAGTGGACATCAGCCTCTGGCAACAAACCCCTCTCCCCGTGGGAACAGGGCTAAGTCCCAAACAAAACTGTGATGTTGGCAGCATTGCTCCAAGGGAGCCCCACACCTGCTCCCTTTCACCTCCCCTGGGCGAATTCCTTCATAACCTTGGAGTAGGAAAAGGCCTTTCTAAGTTTGATACAAAACCCAAATGCCATAAAAGAAAATATTGATAAAGTTTACTATATAAAAAATATCCAAAGCTTCTATGTGGGGTAAAAACAAAACAAAACAAAACAAAACAAAAAAACACTAGAAGTACAAAGATACTGAATTGTCTGCTTGGGAAAACTGCAATCATACCAGAGCCCAGGGGCTCATCTCCCCACACAGAAAGAAAGTGCTCCTATAGAACCAGGAAGAACAGACCAAGACCCCGAGGAAAAAACAAGCAATACACATGGCATACAGCTGAAGGAAAAATATAAAGGTTTCTGAATGTGAAAAGATGGTTAATCTCGATCAATGAAAAGGAAACTGCACTAAAATACCATTTCCCACTTATCAGATTGGCAAGACGCCAAGCCGACCACACAATCTGCTGGGAGGCCGTGGGAAGCAGGTGCCTCCTACCAGGCAGGGGGAGCATGAAATGGTGTCTGCCCACATGCAAAGTCATTTGGCAGGATCCACTGAAATCCCACGTGCCCTCTGCCCAGCAGCCCCATGTCTGGAAATGGACTCTACAGCTTCCCCTGGACACAGAGGAAATGACCACACACAGGTCATCTGTTGCAGGTTGTTGTTATGGGAAAAGTTTGGAAATGGACCAGCACCAGCCCATGTGATTAACTGAAGTATGAGTCAGCTCGCAATGGAATACTACGTAACCGTGAAAAAGATTAAACAAGGGAAGAATGAGGATGCTCCCTATGTTCTTACTCCAGGGTTGATTATAAAGTGAAAAACACAAGTTACAGCACAGTGCACAGGGGATGCTACTTCTTGTGCAGGAAAGTGGCAAAAATGAAGATATAGCTGAATTTTTCATTTGCATAAAGGAATACTGGATGAATAAACTATAAAACAATAAAAGTGTTTACGGCTAGGGAGCTGAGGAGGAAAGAGAGAGGTGGGACCAAGACTTCACTACCATGTGAATGCATTATCTATTCAAAAATATTCTAATTAAATCTGAACCAATTAACTGGCCCTTGGGGAGAGGCGCCATCTAAGGAAGAGTCTAGTCAAATGATTGAGTAGTCCTATGGAGCCAAAAACTGAAAGCAAATTATAAATAAGCATAATCTGGTATGGCTTGTGGTATTTTGCTTTCCTGGGATTCATTTACTTAACAAACACTCACTGAGCATCAACTATGTACCAGGCCTGATTATGTTAAATCCTGGCGGGACTTAATCAGATACGCTCACATCCCCCAGGGAGTTATGGTCCATGAGCAGAGTGCTCGGAGCAAAGGAGGACTCCAGAATTCTCCACAAGAGATCAGGACAGACGCCCAGGAAGTGGACAGGTGATGACGAAGTGGACACAGAGGGTTATGAAGGGGAGGGTCTGGGAGGTGGTCTTAAATCACAGTGTAAGCACCTGGTCTCCTCAGCAGTCAGGAGTCTTGCACCAGGACTAAAAGGCGAGTAGACTGTACTATCGTGTGGTGGTGAAGTCTGGGGGGCAATCTGATTTTGAAACCACCATGGGGGACACTGTGGAGCTCCCCTTTGTCCTTCCTCCTCCTCTTTAAGTCACTGCCTTCCCCATCTGAACACCTTCCTGCTATTGGCGGTTGGGGATGGGGCGGAGTGGGGTGCAGAGAGTGTGCTGGGGTGGGGAGGTTGTTGTCCACGACTCAATGAGAATATGAAACAGTTTAACTACGCGTCTCTCCTCTGCAACCCCTTCTTATGAAGTTACAAGAGCCCAAATTAGACAATAAACTGACATGCTGAGCGAGCTGAGTGGGGACAGAGCTAGATTCAGATACAGATCCAGATCCATGGATGGAGGGACGGTAAACAGACATGGGTAACTTTCACTGACACAGCAGCCCCAGCGAGGGTGAAATGCGATGAGATTTGAATGTGACAGTGAGTCACATTAAGATGCAGGCCACTGCAACCCCAGCTGTGCCATCACGCCCCTGGATTCCAACTCCCCCTTCCTTGTGCTCTCAACCCAGCACCAGCCATGGCCAGTGGGTGATGGTCGGGGGAGGGGAAAGGAGCAGGGAGCTCTCCCAGCGGGGTGGCAGGACAGGGAATGGCAGGTCAGGGCCGCCAAAGGGCAAAGGGACAGTACACAGTATGAACATCTTAGGAGAAAAAGAATTTCCTTTCCACACATCTACCACAAACATGTACAACACACATACACACACTCACACACACACACACACACACATCTGAGCACTCTTGGAGATAAAGACTCTGGACTTCCCTCTGACACAGGCTAGAGGCTGGAGTCATTCAATTTAGACATGAAGGAAACAGCGACTGAAGGCCAGAGGGCTCTGCACTGCTGGGTTCCATTTAACTGTCTGTTTCCCAGGGAGGGTGTCAGAGATCACGAGGCATCCCATCTTCTCCCTGCAACCTCCATTCTGCTAACACTGCCCTGGTCTACAGCCTCATCACCACAAACTGGACCAGGGGAGCCTCTGAAGTGTCCCCTGGCTATAATCCACCTTCAGAGAAGCAGATGGACCTTTCCAAGACTGCACAGTGACTAGCTGCTCCTCCAGCCAGCTTCCAAGTCCCTCAGTAACATGATCCAAGCTCACCTCCCTGGCCCTATTTCCCATGATACTTCAACCTCTCTACTCAAGCCAAACTCTGGACAACTCTCCCAGCTCAAAACCTGCCTTGTGACTTTCTGCCTCCCAGTCCTTTACCATCACCATCGAGAGGAGCCAGGACAAATGCCACCTCCTCCAAGATGCCTTCCAACCTGTGACCTCTCCCAAATTTTAGCACATATGCTAGTCATCTGTCAGTGGGTCTGGAGTGGGCCCTGATCCTGCATTTCTAACAAGCTTCCAGTGAGGCTATCCTGGAGTCCAGTAACACACTCGGTACGCAAGGTAGAACGAACACTTTGCATCAGTCCAATGGCACTTACCACAATCAGCCTCGAATTATTAATATTCAGGCAGGTGCTTGAGCTTCCCTTCTACATCAAAAATTCCTTGAGAGCAGCAACCCCGGGAGAAAGTTTGTATCACCGGAAGAGGGCCAGCTCTAAAATCAGACAGCTCTAAGTTCAAGTCTAAACTCTACCACTCACTTGCTATGACACGGAGGAAGTCACATAACCTCCAAATCTCAGTTCCTCATCTGTAAAATGGGGGAAGGAACACCTTCCTTACAGGGGGCTAAAGACAATAATGGCTATGGTCAGGTCTACCATACTGCCTACCATACTATCATACTAAATGGTAGCATGTCCTACTAGTATGGCCTACCATACTAAATATGTTATAATTTTGGCTTGCTGCTCTTCCCTTCCGTATAAAACTTTGGACTTTCCACAAAGGTTTGTATATGGTAAGTGCACATGGAACATTCTGGCCCAATTTCTGCAGGAACTTCTGTTCTACCTGTATGTCTGTTCAATCTACACTGCTGAGCTCTCTGCCTGGACATGAAGCTCGACCAGCCATGCACCTGACTATGCTCTACAGCTACAGCCGTCCGCTTGGCTGGTGAAGATCAGACACTCTGTGAAGACCCACTGACACAAATCCCATTTGTTCAGGTTGGAAATGAGAACTCATGGGACCAAGTCAGGGTGCAAATCCCTAAGAATTTAACTAAAACAATCAAAAGAAGAGTTCTCACGTCAGTCACCAGGTAGCAGTAACCAAAGACTATGGTATTGGCTCAAAATAGACAAGCAGACCAATGGGCAAGAATAAAAGTCAAGACAAAGATCCACATGTATATGATCTGATTTATGACCAGTGAGGGAAAGATATTCTCTTCAAAGGCTAGATATCTAGGCAGCTTTCTTGCCTGCGTGTCTTTTAATAAACCTGCCTATTTCAGGGGCAGCCCTTCCTGCCCATTTGTGTCTGTGCAAATGTCCCTTTTTCCCTTTCCTTGTTTTTTATAATAACTGTGCCCGTTTGGAGATATATATTTTAAAAAGCCCGGTAATCTATTAGTCAGAACTCAAAAATAGAGAGAAAAGAACTGACTCCTCCTTCACCCCACAATCAAAATTCCAGATGGATCCTTGATATAAAAGTAAAAGGTAAAATAATAAAACTCCTAGAGTATAACAAAAATATCTTCATGGCCACAATATGAGGGAGTCTCCCGGGGTGATAGAAATATTCTTTTTTATTTAAAAAAAAGTCATTAAACTATTCACATAAGATTTATGTACTTTGTGTTCGATTGATCTCAATTTTATAAATTGGAGTGATGACAAAATGACAATCCCAGAAGCATGCTGGCAGGAAGCTGCTCAGCGTGTCAAACAAACACTCCTGGTGATCATGGAGTGGGTGGTCCCTAGCTGTTACTTTGAAAAATCTGAGCTAGGGAAATGCGCCTTCCCAGCCACAGGAGAAAGCCACCTCTGTCCCTGCTGGAAATGACATTTGTAATCATCTGCACCACCCCCTCTTTGGTAGTACCTGCTGGGCAAATACAAGTTCTAAGTAGTTTTTTACTCTTAATATGAGACAGCAGGAAGCCCCAGTCTGACATAACACAGGGGAAGGTGTAAATATATCAGTTTATAGCTTTCCATTAACTCCAGAAGATCCGGAAGAAAGCTTTACTTTCCAATCCAGACACTCATGACTCTTAAGCCACCATGTCATGACACGGCTACTTGCAATTCACATGCACAGGGACATAGAGAATGGCCTTTCCCATTCAGGGTCCACATTTGCCTCCCTGGAACATCACTGCAAGAGGGTCTTTGGGACTCAGACAATAGGAATCCATAAATAACAAGTGGCCTGGGTTTCCATGTCACCCTGACAGCATCGAACTCTCGACTGCAGAATATTATGGGGAGGGTCTGGGGTATTTCATAAAAGGTTTGAAAGGGAACTTGCCCTACCTGTCATTCCAGTGCTATCCCTCCCCTCCCAACTCTGACCACGTGCAGGATGTCAAGAGTCCTAGAATGAGTTTCAAGCACTTACTTTCATCATTAGAAGCATTCCCCAGAGATGTGTGGCTGGAGTAACGTTTGTTTTCACTTTCGCTGAGACATCTTTCAATCCAGCTCTCTAAAAAATAAAAAGAAAATCACAGAATTGCTGGTGTGTTCGTGAAGAGACAGGAACATCATAAATGCATTAGACTTAAAAGCCCGTCCCCTTTCATCTGAGATCTGCCTGAACTGGAACTGGATTTTACCTGAAGCACCTCTATGCACCACTGCTAATGAGACTTGGCTGAGTAGTTTGGAGGTGAAGCGTTCATTAGATACCCCACTTAGATATTTCAAATTTTACGAATTTTGGAATATTCATAACTCCATAGTACGAATTGAGGATTATTTTTCTGTGCAACAAAGGTACACTTTGCAAAAATGATACATATTCTGAGCAATACTTTGTGGTTCACTGAATCACTGGTGATTTGCAGACTTGTGAATTAGCAGCAGAATCCTTTCTTCAAATGAAAACAAAAAGAAATGCAGATAAAACCCTGTAGATTCTGGTTGAAGTGGAGAAGGAGGTCAGGGAACCTCACCTCCCTTTGCCCAGTGACCCCTGAAGGGGCTCTTCCCAGAACAGACTGAAGGAGGAGCCCTCAAAAGCTCTATAGCAGCAATGTAGTACTTTGAAAATCTAAGAAAGTCGGTTTTAAAAATCCAATCACAAAGGCTAAAAATGCACTTTCCACAGTGTAGAATAATACTTCTTCCATCATCTAGACCATTAGCAGTCATTCATTTTTTTCGTCATTCCTTCAACGACACCAGCTAAGAATAGTTAATTCTGCTATAATGTTTGTTAGGAAAATACAGATGTGTTCCCATGCAAGTGCTATGTTAGGGAAAAGTGTGAACACAGTACAAATGTTGTGTTTGCTTACGCTTAATTTCTTCCTTAAAAAAAAAAACTTTGGGGCCTCCCTGGCGGTGCAGGCAGTTGAGCACAGCACTGTGAAGCTGTCCGCAGCCTCTGCAGTGCCGGTTCGATCCCTGCCGGCCGCGGAGCAACCCACATGGCGGGGCAGACCTTTCCTGCCTCGCCCACTGCTCCCCTCAGCAGTGTATTTCAGTCTTTCTGCCTGTTCTGTTCCCCGCTCTGTCTCTGGTGAATCCTCTTATCCTCTCGCACATCTAGCCTGTACCCCAGTTCTTGTATAAATAAAATAAGTCTTTAAAAAAAATTTTAAAAACCAAACTTTAATTTTGCAGATCTTTCTGAGAAAGCAGAAAAACCTCATGTAGCTGAACTGAGCTACATTTTGCATATCCCCATGCACACACACTCACAACTAAACATCTACCAGCTACTTCAGTTTCCCCTAGGTGTTATGAGCCACAACGAACCCATGTAACTCACTTTCTACCACTTCACAGTAACTCACAAGCCACCGCCCTTCTGAGATCTGCTTCCAAAAGTGAATATCCCAAGGTGATGTCCTTATCTGTTGTATTTGTGTATCCTTTAATAATTTAACAGGTGCGAAACTGTGCTATCTTTTTTACTAGGTCATATTTTTTGTTAATGTGTCACCGACAAAGTTTTTGAGTATTATGCCCCTAGCTTATTTTTCCAGTAAACTCTTTGGTTTTTATTGTACAATTTTGCCAATTGGTGGTAATTTTTAAGGATGTGTATATTGTGTTGTAGCAGAAGTGACTAGAAGTTTTGCATGGCGTCGCCTGCTTGCCTTCTTTGTAACATGGGGACAAGCATTTACTGAGCACCTGTTTTAACATGTGATCTCACTGTATTCTGATAACAACTCCCCGTGATAAATATTTTAAGCTCCATTTTTCCTGGAAAGCAACTGAAGTTTAGGGAGATAAGTAATGTGATTCCTCATAATTCAAACAGCCAAGGAAAAGATCCCTAGTCAATACCTTAGGTAACATATTGTAAAATAAAGGAGTAAGCTACACAGAGAAGGGGGTGCAGGGGAAGCAAATGCTAACAGCAGCGAGAAATGTTGGGTTTTGTTTTGTAGTTTATGTCCCAACAAACTGCTCTTTCAAAAGTTTGCTTCCAAAATTGTGAATAGTAGAGGAAAAATATCCAAGAGGAGGAACAGGAGCCAGCTTGTTAACAACATACGGAAATCTGGGATTTCTGAGGAAATATTGAGCAGCAGAGAAACTCACAACATTAAACCACCATCCCTTCCAGATATGGCATGCAGTGTAGAAACTAATGACTTGTAATGTTTCAAAGCTGTGATGGCACAGGTTGGTTGTCTGTTAGCACATCTTATCCAAAATCACACCCGATATAAATGTCCAGAATTCTGGAATGTCTCCACTCAGATGTTCTAATCCCTTCAAGAACTGGCACATTTTCCCTGGCAACAGCCATGGCTGATTTGGGATGACATCTACTGACATTTGCTGCCCCCTCTCCACCAAACCACAGCACCAAAAGCAATGTCTACTGTTCCAGGCCAGCTGTTGCTCTTCCCAACTCAGTATACACACCCAATCACATATGCATGGGGGATCTCTCTCTCTCTTTCTCTCTCCTCTCATTCTCTCTCTCTCTCTCTCTCTCTCTCTCTCTCTCACACACACACACACACACCCCAGGTGCAATACCTGTACCAACAGCTCAAGTCAAACAAGAACTTTCCTGAGGGCTGTGCCTCTCCTCTGATAAACAACATAAAATGACCATGGTGCCACGCTGAGTCTGGTAACAACCAAAGAAAGCCAGGAGGCTGTTGAGGGTCAGGTCCCAGGGCATTGAGGCATGAGCAGCAGAAAAGAAGAGAAATCAAGTCAGCAAGTCACACTCAGCACTGAATTCTCCTAGCATGGCTTGACAAACATTCCACCAATCAAAACTGCACTGACTGAAAACCTCATTTGCATAAAGCAGACCCAGCCTGGCCCTTTGTCTATATAAGCATACTCCCTTGAGGGCTTCTTGCACATTCAAATCCAGTTTTCTAGAGACTCCCAAAGCCCCAAATAAAATAAATGCCAAGAGCTGTAAAGCAAGAGCTGCGACAGGTGAGCTGTAACCAATTGCTATAAACCAACAAGAATTCAGTATCACAGTCAACACCTCCGTATCACACAGCCCAACACTGGAGTGAGATGAAAGCAGCCTTACAGAAGGGGAAGATGGAAGTGGCAAGAAAAAGAGACAAATATCACCATGGTACCCTTCCCCTGCTCATCATACCCCATCAAGTCTTTCTGACCCCATAACACGGTCCTGTAGCCACTCTGCTGCCCATCTCCACTCCGTGGCATGACACTGAATAAATTTGGACTATTTTGCTCATGAAAGACTTAGAAAGACAGCCTCCAACGTGTCTCCATCTTTTCTGGTCAAATCACACCACTTATTTCAGTTATAGAGTATATGATTTAATAGTAATAAATACCACCATATATTGACCCAAGCATTATACAAATGTTACATACAGAGCAATTTAAATTCATAACAATCTTATGAGGTATGTGCTATTAATTTGCACATTTTAGAGATGAGCAATGTAAGCCTCCGAAAAATTAAGTGACTTGTCCAAAGTCAACCAGCTAGTAGAGTCACACACACACACACACACACACACACACACACACACACGCACACAGGTGAACTGAGCTCTCTTCCTATGTCCCATACAGTCCTCGGAACACAGAGCAGAGCCAATATTGCAGCACTGCACTGGTCTCAGTCCACTTTGCTTAAAACCTTTGATGAAACTCTACTTACATATTATAATTTTTGTTAAATCTGATGTATATTTTTCAGCCTTTGTCATATATAACAGTCTTTCCACTTTAGAACTTAAACATATTAGGAATGGAGTCCACTTTATTCTACTAGTTCTTTTGACCTTCCACTGGCCCCTGCTATAAACTTCTTTCTGTAGTCTGGCCTCAATCAATGTTACATTATCAACACATGTGATGTCAAAGGATGCCCAGCCTTTCCGTAGATATGCCCACATACCTATAGAATTGCCTGCCCATCTTTTATACCACAGTAGGCATAAAAAAGTACAACATATCAAAGGCAATTCTCCAGATAAAGAAAGCAAATTTCAACCAACAATTATTTTGTGCCTTCTAGGTATAAAGAGGTATAGTAAAGAGAAGACATGAGTGATATAGATATTATTAATACTGGCTTCTGCCCTCTAGTTACCATCTAGAAAGCAAGGTAGATGCTGCTTCCAGAGCTATTGAGTTCAGGGACCCTGTCAATTTTGTTCACCTTGAATCGAGTGACTATCACTGTGCTTGGCCCCATAGATGTTGCACAATAAATGGGTATTGTTGAGGGCATTACTTTCTTGGAGAAATGATATTAAGTTCTTACTGTGTGCCAGGTACTAGGCAAGATATATGCACATATGTGGTCTAAATGGAACCTCAGAGCAGTATTATACGGTGTGTTTTTATAATTCTATTACAGGCATGAAAACCAAGATTTGAAGCAAAAGTTTAATACAAGGCAAGCCATAATCAATGCTGCAATATTAGCACTCTATTATGAGACACAAGACAGAAAGTGCTCGATTCACTCTTGAATAAATCCCAGCTGCCAACTGCCTCAGTCTTGAGGCATAAAAACATCCAATCTTTGAGTAAGGACCAAGTTTGCTCTGAGTGCCTGACAGGATCTACCAACACTGTGCGTGAGGCACCTGGGCTGGGAACTCTTTCATCTGATTCATCTAGGATCATGGGCAGGTAGGAGGATGTCAATAATGCCTTGTGGATTTTCACTTTAAAGGGAATTTAGCTCACACTCCTTGGAGGTAGAACCTCATGCCTCCCCGCTTTGGATTGAAGATTTATTTAGACGCCTCCATTTAAAGTGGCTCTCTGTTTTATAAAACGAGGTTGAGCAGAGCCATAAACAGTTACTTGGGTATTCTCAGAGGCTTTTTTCCCTTTGCAGCAGCCACGAACCACCAGGTAGTCACCGCATAAGATACCTGGCATGCACAAGACAGGAAAGGCTCAGTGCTGCTTCGGGCACATATTTTGTTCTGGCAGGAGAAGCTGGCTCAGGTGGTTACCAAAAACCCTCGAAGGTCACAGAGCACAGTGACATGG